GCGTGCGCAGAGGGTCTGCGTGCCGTCCCCGCTCTCTCCCCCAGCCTCCTCCTCCTCCGCCTCCGCCCCCGTCCCGACACCGCCGCCGCGCTCGGAACCTGTTCCATTTAGCCCGGCCCTTTTTGCCGGCGTCGTCAGCGGCCCCAGCCGGGTCGTCGCTGCTGCTATTTTAATGAATACTTCTAAACTCTATATGGCATTTTAAGCAGCATTTTAAGATAATTAAACCGTTTTTGTTGTTATTCGTCGACGTTATATAAAAATGAAATAGTCTCTGCACCCGAAAAAAGACGAAGACGAGAGCGGCCCCGAAAGGCTGTTGGGCGTATAACGCGTTTGGCGAGAGTTAATGGTGGGCGAATCGGCGCAGGGTAGAGCGTTGCACACCCACTGCCCGCCGACGCCTCTCCAGTAAACAATTGAACGGTTTTTAATATCCCCGGGTTTATGACATCGATTGAGGCTTTTCGGATTGCCCGCAAATGGTTTGGTTGATACATAAGGTGAAAAATGCTTTACACTATTTTTTTAATAATTTACTCTACAACTGTAAAACTCCTTAAGTGTTTCAATATTTTACTCATTTAAAAGGCGATAAATTAGTCGAAATCTTATCATTCAATATTTTTTGTTAAAACATTAGATATTTCACCCCACAGTTTAGTTATGTCTTAATATAATAATATTTATAATAATAATATTTATTTCTGCACTGTAACTTACAGATATTTTTTCAATGAAATGAACACTTTTAGTTTTTAATGACTGGGACGGGGTTTCCAGGTTCGAACTTCGGATCTGTTGATCGGCTTTGAAATAAGCATTTTGTGGACACGTTCTTCCAAATCTTTTCCGAATTCACGTCAGTGTACAAGTACCACATGTTTTCATTGTGTAAGTGTTGACAGAAGTGCCAGTATTTTACATGTATAATCTACCATAAAACCACGGCTTGTGTCTCCAGAAAACTTGTACTCGAAGAAGTGATTACGTATCGTCGTCATTGAAGAATAAAACTTCCCCATGTTAAAAAAATTTAAAAGCATTGTGCTGGTTGTCTGTAATTCCTTCTGGACAAACCATTCCAGGCATTGATTGAATGAAGAGCATCATACAGAAGATTTTTTTAACTTCCTTAATATTTGTTAAAAATCTTATTTTTATGAGTACGAACCTCGCTCAGTTTCTTTAATTGCAGTTGAAAAATATAATATGCAACTTACGGAATGTTCTACGGATAGATTGGAAACTAAGAAAAAATGATATAAACAGAAGACGACTGTAATACAAATATTATGAAAGAGTAATTATATGCTAAGGGTAATGAATGTTTGTTTTCTTCGTGAACTTCTTATATTTAATTATTACCTTTAGGCCATAATGTCAGTGGGAAAAAGTGAATAAGACCAAAATATTAATTTTTTGTGCTCATGTTTCCAACATTCATTTCATTCTCCTTCAAATTTTCTTCTGTCAATTTATTAAATATGACCGATCTGAGATTACGAAAAGAAGTAACTTCTCCCTCACAGACGTGTTTGATGAAGGAGAATGTGTTATTGTCGATAATTTTTTGGCCGCGATCTTATAATAACTCATCACAATTTGAGTTATTACTTTCGCTTGTCACAGTAATTGCACAGAATGTCTTAAAAACGTGCCTTTCACATGAGCGAAGAGGGAAATAACTTCCGTAGACTTTGGGAAAGGGAAAGTTGGTGTTCTCAAAGATACTGCGGAACGCAAAATGATCACTAGGTAATTGCGAATGCAGAATGAAGCCTCGGAGAGGTTGAATTTCTCTAATCTTGTTTTATCTTGATGGAACGGATAAATGCTATAAATGTTTGACATCATGATACTGCAAATATTTTTGCGTTACCAACTTCAAGAATTATCGTGTGAGGGACGACAAAGTCTACGCAACCAAAATATTTTTTTTATATTCAGTTCATTTAAAATTTCCGCTAGTCATCAATTTACTTTATGAATTGGTAAGATTAGGGATTCAGCGTTTTTCTGGCAACAACTTTAGTGAAAGCTTTGATATTCATATAGAAACTTGCTTCTACGACTCAACAAAAATGGCTCATTCAGCTACTATGCATATTATCTTTTGCCATTGTCGTTGCTAGGGTCATGTATTCTGATTGGAATCGGCTTAGGTGGCTCAGGCCATCCGTCGACGTCCCTGCAGTGCCTCTAACCGGGAGGTTCTAGCATTTGAAACCCGATGGGGGCAGAATAGACCACATTACCTTCTTAGGTCGAATTCATCTGCTGTCTCAAGGACAATTCCAGCGTTGCGTTGCTCTGATCACTACCCGGCGAATACCGGAACAATACTCTAAGAATCAGGCCACGAACCGCGCACGAACTTCCATACCTCTTCCTTGCTCTTTCTTCACCCCTTGCGTACACACACCTCTACATGCACTTAACAGCTACATATTTCGAGAGCTTAGAGCTTCGTCCGACTGGGCAGGTGTGCAGGTTGTGGGAGACAC